GCTGTGTGGGTTGGGGTTAGGGCTGTTTGGGTTAGGGTTAGGGTTAGGGCTGTGTGGGTTCCGGTTAGGGTTAGGGCTGTGTGGGTTGCGGTTAGGGTTAGGGCTGTGTGGGTTAGGGTTAGGGCTGTGTGAGTTGGGGTTAGGGCTAGGGTTAGGGCTGTGTGGGTTATGGTTAGGGTTAGGGCTGTGTGAGTTGGGGTCAGGGTTAAGGCTGTGTGGGTTAGGGTTAGGGCTGTGCGGGTTGAGGTTAGGGTTAGGGCTGTGCAAGTTGGGGTCAGGGTTAGGGCTGTGTTGGTTGGGGTCAGCGTTAGGGCTGTGTGGGTTGGGGTCAGGGTTAGGGATGTGTGGGGGTTGGGGTTAGGGCTGTGTGGTTGGGTTTAGGGTTAGGGCTGTGTGAGTTGGGGTTAGGGTTAGGGTTAGGGCTGTGGGGGTTGGGGTTAGTGTTAGGGCTGTGTGGGTTAGGGCTGTGTGGGTTGGGGTTGGGGTTAGGGCTGTGTGGGTTGGGGTTGGGGTTGGGGTTAGGGCTGTGTGGGTTAGGGTTAGGGCTAGGGCTGTGTGGGTTGGGGTTGGGGTTAGGGCTGTGTGGGTTAGGTTTAGGGTTAGGGTTAGGGCTGTGTGGGTTGGGGTTCGGGCTGTGTGGGTTAGGGTTAGGGCTGTGTGGGATAGGGTTAGGGCTATGTGGGTTAGGGCTAGGGTTTTGTCGATTGAGGTTAGGTTTAAGAGGTACCTGTTTATAAAGAGGTACCTCAGAGTCAGGAAGTGTTGTTTCTCCCCACCCTGACCTGTTCAGCGCCAGCCCTCCCTCACCCCCCAACTCCAGCATTCGCAAGTCTCTCCCCCATGTGTTTAGATGACTCCCACTGCCAATCGTCTCCCTGCAGCAACGACATGCCTCTAGGGGTATCTGTAAACCCAATTCCCCATCAATGTCCCTCGCTCACCCCCATTCCTCATCTATATTCCGCCCACTACCCCGATTCGCCATCGCTATCCTCCCCACCCCCCCTATTCTCTGTCACTATTCACCCCCAACTCCCTGATTCTCCGTTGATATACCCCCATCCCACAATTTCATATCAACATCTCTCCCATCCCCGATTCACTGTCAATATCCCCACATCTGCATTCTCTGTCAATGTCCCTCCCCCAGCACCAAACGCCATCAACATTTCCTCGATACCCAATGACCCTTCATTTCCATTCATGAACCGTATTTCCCACTCGATGACCTCCCCCAAGTTTCCCTGTCAATGAGCCCCATAAAGGTGCTGTCACTTTAACACACTGCCCCATAGAGGTACTGTCACTTTAACACACTGCCCCATAGAGGTCCTGTCACTTTAACACACTGCCCCATAAAGGTACTGTCACTTTAACAC